CTTGCTAGTTTATCAGGGGAAATTCGGCTTTAGCAGCCCGTACCGAACAGGTCCTTCTTAACATTTGGCCAACTTCTTTTGCGTCGGCCATATTGAAATTAAAAGTGGAGACTACCACCTGCAGGTCTTTGCAATTATGTACAACTTGGGGAAAGGAGTTGGGAGAGAGAAAAAAAAAAAAATTAATCAAAAAGCCTGGAAACACCAGAAAAATAAAAATAGCAAAGACAATCAAAATAAAACAACTAAAAGTAAAATAAAAGACAAACTTGATCAATAAATAAATATACAGTTAAGAAAAAAATAAAAAAAAAAAAAAAATATTGCCCAAAGGCTGCCGAAAAAAAAAAAAAAAAAAACTCTCTCTCTTTTTTAAAATTCAAAAATTATACAAAAAGAAAAAAAAAAAAGAAAAAGTCTGGTTTACCACCAAAAAAAAAAAAGGTTTTGCGTCCGAAACCACTAAAGAAAACAAATTAAAAGTAAAAACAAACTAGTCAAACCAAAAAAAGAAAGCAAAACGAAATCGCTAAGAAAAGAAGGAGAAAAAAAGAAATAAAGACAAAGCTTTCTTTTTTTTTTTGTCTTAAACTATTCTTAAATTTTAAAACTGAAAGGAAATAAACAAAATAAGAAAGCAGTCGTCCGGTAAGACTTTGTCAAACCGGACTAAAAAAAAAAAAAAATGTGGGCGAAGCCCAAAAACAAATTAAAAACAAACAAAAGAAATGGAAAAATTAAAAGAATAAAAATTTAAATCAATAACTTATCAGAAAAAACTTGAAATTTCAGTAAAGTTCTTCCAAATAGGTAGACAGATCACAGGAGCAAACAACCAGAAACAGGCTCGCCACACAGCAGTACTAAAAAAAAATGACGTTCAACATGGAAGTCAAGAAAAACAGTCCACAAAGGTCTGGACAAACTTGGTAATTACTGCTCGGAAGGTTCACACGTTTTCTGTTTATATAATCACTGAGTGGCTCCCAGCATAAGAGCGGGAAAACAGCTTGGTCGCGTGCAGGCAGTTTGATTGGTCGGAACTGACCAATCAGCAAGCCAGATTAGAGGTGATTGACCAATGAATACTTGTTATATTGTCTGAAGGTAGAATTTGGCTTACTAGATAGGAAGAGTGTATTTCCTACAAAGAGGTAAGGCTGGTTGTGTTGTGGGAGATTCTACAGTAACATTAATTATTCTTCAAAAATTGTTGTCTTCAACTGACATATTTGGCCAGTAATTTTTCCTTTCTATGTGTATTATTAAATATGATTGGCAATGCTTTGTTAATTTTTAATTCAATAAAAGGACATGAATAGTTGGTTGAAGAAATGCAGAAATTGTCTATGTTTTTTTAGTGTTAGTTTCTCTAGCACTTAGGAACATTCTCAAGTAATTCTCATGAGCAAAAACATGTGGACAAAACATGAAGTGAACTAAAGTTGTATTGTTTTCTATCTATTGTGAGTTTTTAGTTTTATATGTGGACAATTTTCAGGCAAAGACAAATCCATTATTAGATTATCCTTATATGAAACTCAGTTGCAGAGAGTAGAAAACAGGAAATATATTACATAATTTTATAAAGAAAGCTCTCTTCTTCACATTGAACACTATTATTATTATTATTTCTTTACGCTGTACCTTTTGTGCACCATTTTAAAGTGTTATCGATATATAGGGATATTCAAAAACAAAGAGCCCATTTTGAAAAAACAAATGCTAAGAGACAAAAACACATTCAACACATTACTGGACTTTTGCCATGAGGCATTTCAGTTGTTTTCATTGTTTTGTCAGTCTAAGAAAACATTGCATGAATGTATCCAAAATACAACTTTCACAACTAAGACATATTTCATCATCTTGAAAGAGACTCAAACTTTTGTACAGTTTCAAGTATGAACATTTCATACAACATCATATTTTCCCATTTCTTTTTTGTTATTTCCTTGTTATATTTTTTTTTCTATTTGATACACAAAGAATGTTTTAGTTTTATTATCTTGATGTATCCTGGCTTGCCTTTCTTTCTCTTTCTCTCCAAACCTGCTGGAATTAAGGATGTACCAAACAGTAAAAAAATCATTTGTGACTTTTAGGTATGATGACCATGTGTCTTTGTTTAAATGTAGTTTAGAGAGTTAAAGCCTCAACTAAAAAAGGATAATGTCAACAACTGAAGTTAATATTACAATTGTAAAATTAAAAAAGGACCGAATATTAAGAACGTTGGCTAAAGAGAGTAAAGCAAATGAAATTGCCATCTTTAAGTAAACATCACAAAAAGAAACATAGAAGTTAGATAAAAAAATATTTGAAAACAGATTAATGATGAATATAGAGATATATAGGATTGACCTAGATGTTAGGCGCTTCATGGAAATAGTCAACAGTTTGTAAGAAAACAGTGGGAAATGGAGTAATATATTTAGTAGTAAAACTATAGATCCCTTCAAAGTTGATGATGGTATCATGATAAATGCAGAAAATTATTAGATAAGATATTTTTTGAAGATTACAGGTCATAACCAAGAAGATTTAAGCTAAAGACTATATTCATTAAAAAAAATAATTATTCACGTTCTGTAAAGCTGATTATTGATTACACCTAGCCAAAAAATATTTCTTCTATACATAATTTAGAAAACATTTTTATAAGCAAGGTGAATATAAAATGATTAAAAATAATAAGTCTGTTATTGATCTTTATCTTGAGAGGAGAATATAAAAAATTATATAAAAAAATATGAATAAAATAAATGATTAATAAAGTGTATATAAAAATATAAATATAATAATAGTCTTGGTTTGTTTTTCTTTTAAGAGAATTGTTTAAAAAAAAATAAAAGAAAGCCAGACAGTTAAAAAAAAAAAATGACCTAATTTGATATGAAACATTTATCTGTTAAATTTTGTGAAAATAGAATGGCTTGATAAAAATTGCCAAAAATAAGTTAGTAAAGGGCAGTTTGTTTTAATTTTTAAATTCAAAAAAGATATACATCTGCAAATTTATGGACCAATCAGAAGGGTGACTTCCACCTACACAAATTTAAAAGTTGAGATTCATTTGGAGCCTATTTGAGGGCTATATAAGATGACGAAGCAGAAAATTTCAGTAGATTTTGGGAGATACAGAATGCAGAAAAATTTCAAGAAGATACCAGAAGGTTACAAGTTATAAGGATGTCAGAAGGAAAGCAATTTTGGTGGTCACCAGTGAATCAGCTGGCCTGTTTCTTATGAAAGAAGTAAGAAAGAAGCAAATACAGAAAAAGAAACCTAACCAAAGTGAAACCAGTGAAATGTTTGAGAATAATATTTGAACTGTATTCAAGAAAAAGAACAAATTTATTCTAGTGATGCTGGTGAATTTTGCCAAAGTCTTCTTAGTTTTGACTTTCAATTAAGTGTATCTTTTTTTGAAAGTATGTGTATTTTAATCTTTTATTAAAAGGAATTGTACCTTCTCAAAAGGTCTTTCAGTTGTTAATATTTTATATATTTTGAACCTTTTTATAAAAGAATTTTATTGTACCTTCTCAAGATTTTTCCATTATTGAAACTTTATTGAATAATTTGTTTTTTATGAGCTATACTTTTATTTTTTGAATTGGATATCTAACCTTTTATCAGGCACAGAAAAGGAAATTTTGGTGCAAGCTTTTTTGTAAAACTTGTCTTTTGTTCTATTGTTTTTATATTAATGTAATAAATTTTTGTCTCTTTCAAATTTCTCATCATAGTTTTGAGTCATTTTTTTTGTATGAGCCTTATTCAGTATTCTCTCTTCTCTTCTTCTTTTCCCCTCAAAAATCCTTTTAGTTTCGTATATACTTATGAATATATAAAGAATTGAATACATGTTATTATTTTAAAATTCAGCATTTATATGGGTGAAAGAAATATTAAGTATGATTTGGCCACATCATTATGGCATCTCTCCGTGTCACTGTACTGAGCTGAGTGTGTTGTTCCTTTAGCGTTCCTCTTTTTTATAACAGATAGCTAAACGCATAGTAAGCATTTAGTGATACAGAATTTCCAAAGAGGAATAAAGTTTGTATTGGTAGCAAAAGACAAAAAAAATTATGTACATAATATGCACAAGTTGATACATTTGAAAAAAAAAGTGAGTGTGTATAAATGGACTTTTATCATTAAAGTTTGTATGACAAAGAAATGTTTATTTTTGTATGCAAAATAGATAAGTGTTACTGATAAACTTAATACATTTTTGAAGTTCAAGGAGCAAAATGTGCAAAGCATAAAATGTTGTGTTTGTTATAAAAGATTATATATCGTAAATTGAATAGACTTATATTGACAATCAAATGATGACTAAAGAAATTTAGAATTTATTGTTTATGGCTTTTTTGAAGCTTCAAAAATTATTACATTTTGAGCCTTATTTCTATAATTTATTGGTTAAACATATTGCTTAAATATATTCTAATTAATCAGATCTTATTTCTATGGTTGGCATCTAAAATTTTTTACAAAAATAATTTTGACCCCTTGTGATCTTGAAGCAATATTGTTTACCTTGGGTACTAAATGTCTTATGTCTAATTCTACAGTTGTAATCAGATATTTAAGAAAACTCAAATTATTCTTAATTTATGTTATATATATGTTTATTTTTATTAATTTTTTATCATGCCTTCATCTTTTAATTAATGCTTTTAGTTGTTGTTCTCTAAGCAAATTAAATGTGATCAGATGAAAAGAATTCTATTTAAGATAATAAAATAGAAGAAAATATAATTATCTTTGATCTAATGACAAAATTTCAGTTTCAGTGATTTTACTTTGTAAATTGGTTCCAACTTAAAATTTTCACACTGAAAATATTTAAATAGCAAATGATATAGGCAATAAAATTTTTTTATTTTCATGTTAAAAAAATTACCTACAAAAGCTCTTTGTATCTTTCTTAATATTTTAAAAAATTATTATTGTTGGGGTAAAATAACTTTAATTTTTTTTTTCAGAAAAGTTAAGATGTCTGAAAATAAAACTCATGAATATTGGATTAATAAATGGTTGGAAGGAAAGACATCTTTCCACTCAGAGAAAATGCATATGTAAGTAATTGATCCAAATTAAATTGAATGCAAAATATTGCTGATTTTAAAACCAGTTTTACCAACAAAAGACTGTATCCACAACAGGAAAATCATTATTCCTACCATCCACATTAACTTTTTTAAAGGTTTTGATTTTTCTACAATGTTTAACTTAATGATTTTTTCTTTCAGATCACTGGAGAAACATTTAGATAAATTTATTGCTGGGCGAACAGGAATAAAAATGTTCTTCCCCCTATGTGGAAAGACTGTAGATATGAGACTGTAAGTTAAATTTCATAAAGTTTGTTTTAATTAAAACAAAAATACATGATACATATTACTTTGGATAACTTTAGTCAGGACTTTTCTATAATTTATTCCTTCATGTGGCTAACTTATGAATTTTAATCAGACATGTTGCAGTGTATTTAATAAAAACAAAGATATGTTTGTTGTTTTAAATAAAAAGTCAAAAGCAATATGTTTGTATATCATTTATAAATAAAGAATTACTGTGATTCAAAATTATATAGAAGTTTGTATGAATTACTTTTTGTTTTTATTTATCCACTATTTTGGAGTTTAAAAACTTTTAGTTCCTCATGAAATGTTACTACTTAAGAAGTTTTACTGATACATCTTTTAAAATTTTATAGTCTAAACTTTAAGATGTGCATTATAAATGTGTTTGTATATCAACATTATACCCATAACATTGAGGAAATCTGTTCATCTGTCAATGTTAGCCAGCATTTCTAATATCTCCCAGGATATTTACACATTATTTCTAATTACTTCATCAGAAAATTTTCTCATTTTCTATCTTTTTGAACAAAAAATCATTTTATGCCTTAAGGTTTTGCAACTTTTGGGTAACATCTCTCATGTTTTGTCAACTTCTATGTCATTGAACTCTATAAATGAACATATGATTAGTTCATACATTTTCTTTAAGTATCAATTATAATTTTATTACAAATCACTTTTTTTTATAAAAGAAGTTCTGATTTAATATTCTTCATTGTACCTACATTCCTTTCAGATTGGCTGATCAAGGGCATTATGTAGTTGGTGTGGATATAGCAGAACAGGCTTTTCAAGAATTTTTTATTGATCAAAATTTGGAATATACTGAAGAACCATTGAAAAATGTGGATGGCAAACTATTTAAGGTTTGTATTTAAGACATTTTTCTTTTTCACATGAAGCAGCTTTTTAATAGCTACAAATTACAATATCCTAAATGGTTCAGAAAAGTAATTTCTTAATAGTCTGTTACTTTTTAAACTGTTAGTAAAATATGTTTAGTTTTTCATATAATATCTGATTTTTTATCTCAAGATAATATATCTTATTTTTAATATATATATGTGTGTTTGTGTTTCTTTTCATTTAGGAATTCACTCACGTCATAGCAGCAAAAGTAACCTTGTGTTCACAGGTATAAAAAATATACACAGAAATAACACTAAAACTATGTTAAATTGTAAATTAAAATCATATAATTTATTTATTAATTTTTGTGTACTGGTTTATGTGCATTTTTAGTTAAGTGTTTTAAGGTTGCATGTGATAAAAAAGAAGTCATTACTTCATATTATGACAAGCAATGTCCCAGAGAGAGGAATAGGACATCTTATTCATTCAACAGTCAGTTATGAAGTGAATGAGTTCAACATCTTTTGGTGAGAAGTCCATTTTTCTGGCAGGAACAGTTTCTGTTTCATACTAGGAGAATTTTTATTATTTTTATTTTTTATTTAATGTTATTTGTTTTATTTTATTTATATTATTATTATTTTATTTTTACTTATCTGTAATAATAATAATAATGTCCCTAAACATTACTTTTTTTCCTGCCATTCCTTTCTTTGTTTTTATTATCCCCTTTGTCCTGCTAAAAAAGGAGCAATTTACCATTAAATTACAAAAAGTGTAACACCTCAATACACTGACACAAGACCACAATACAGAAATCAGCAGTAAGGATCACATTTACTATAGCAAATTGGTTTATAAATTGAAATTTCTAATCATCATACAATGTTAGTTGCTTTTAGGTTTATCATATTACAGAATAGAAATGTCAAAAAAGTAAAATAAATAAAAGTAAATGCCTGAATAAAATTTTGAAAACTATTTTCTTTGAAGTGTTCTCTTTTGTTTGGAATTATTATAAACATTGTATATTTTTTTGACTTGTAGTCAATGGATGGCAGAATCAAATTGTACTGTATGGATTTCTATTTGTTCACAAAGTAAGTATTTTAATCTAATCCATAAAACACATTTTTTTATATCAGTAGCTTGAAAAACTTCTATTGTAACAATTTCTCTTTTCATAAAATCTTAATATATTAAAGTATTATACATTTTATGAAAAGTAATTTTCTATTTGGTAGTGTTTAAAAGTTTTTGGCCTAACCAAGAAGCCCTTTCCAAAGTGAGTTGGGTTGAGAACTTTTCAGCACTTCCTGGATTTTTAATTTTGAAATTTTGAGCAAATATTTTTTCTGTACTTTGAAGATAAATTTAATAAAACCTGATACTTTTCATTCCATTCTAAATATTAGAGATACAAAAACATATTTTTTTTTCTGTTTGTTGCATTATTTTTTGTTCTCTTTTATTTAAATGTCTCAAAGTTATTTTGTTGTTTAGTATTTACAATGTATTGCAAAGCTTAAAGTTAATTTGTAATAGTTATAGTTTTTCTTGTCAGATTATCTGGAAAACATTTTATGTGTATATGAATGATGACTGGACAATTTGCAGATGTTATTATAAATTGTTACAAGCCTATGATTTTTTGAGCAAAATATATTTTTAGAGTTCTCTTTGATAAATTAAAAATTGATTTGATAAATGAAAATTTATTAACAAATATTATAAAGACTATTAAGTTAGAAAAATTTTGAAATATTCTTTGAAATAAGAATCTTTATTTTCTGTCATAAATGATCTTTTAATGCAATTCTAATTTATTTCCAATTCCCTTTCAGAGAGATGGAGGGTCAATTTAATGCCATTTGGGACCGTGGTTCTCTTGTAGCAATCAATATAGAGGATAGAATCAAGTAGGTATACAACTTGAGAAATATTTTCACTGCCCATGCTAGTCAATTTTCTCATATAGATTCTAAACTAGTAAGCTATCTTTTATTATCAACTTGAACAAAAAAGATTTTCCATTCTTCCAATCAAACACCGTTCTTTTTGCTTCTTGTTATAAACTTACATACGGTAGCATGTGTGAACAATAGAAACAATATGTACCACTGGTGAGGTAAAAAAAAAAAACAAGAATTGTTAAGATAAAATTATTGCCAATATAGGGGATCAAGGATCATGGCATTTAAAAAATATTTACTAGATTTTCTATATTTGATCTTATCGCTTTTAAATTATGCCAAGGCCAGTGTTACATTTTACTAATTTTCTGAACTGTCCAAAATTTATCCTCATGACATCAAAATATTAATACGTTTGACTTTCTATTATAAATGTTTTTTTCTTGTGTTTATCAAAATCCCATTCAATCTGTTTAAAAAATGAACTAAAAGGTAGAAAAGTTTGATTTATCATATCGCTCTCTTTCATGCAATGCTAAACTGAACTTGTGAGAGCATAAAGACTTATTTAAATCTTTGTGTTACATACTTGGTGCTTGAATTTTATTGCATAATTAAAATGACAGAATTTGGATTACATCATTGACTTTTTTGTTTTCTATGATAACAAAATGTCTAAAAATAAAAAAGGAAAGGATTTGTTTCATTTGAAAACATTTCAATCCTTTATTGCTTCAGTTTCTTTAGTTGAAAACATAAAATGGATTTTCAAATTTTCTTTATTTAATTCTAGATTCATCATCCCTTTCTTAGTGACATTAGACTTCTCTGTGGAGAGTAAGGCCACAGTCTTACCATGCCAGGTTTAGTAGTTTATACAGAGTGGAATTGCCAGCCCCACACCCAACTGGTTTTGAATTCAAAGTTGTCAATCTCTTAGACTGGTAGCCAACCAAATCTAGGAAGGCCAGTCTACTTTGCCATTTACCCTTTAATTTGAAGAACAGATGGATTCATATCTTTCTAAAGATTATTTGTGCAAATGAGAATGCAAAGAACTTAGAGACAGAATTTGAATTCAGTATACCAATTCCACTTTCCATGTCAATAACTGCTATGCTATATGCATACCCACTTGAAGATTACTGAAGTGTAAATTTTTCTCTGTACAAACAATTAGTGTGTAATCATAAAATCATCTTTTTATGAGAGGTGCTGAAAAGTTCAGTCTGACCCACTTTCCAAAATCCAACGCCAAACATTTTTTCATTTATTTTATCACTGCTTGGTATAGAACCAATTTTTAACACCTTAAAATATCATAAACTCAACTTGTTCTTAATGCATAGGATTTAAATAAGTTAACCAGATTATGGATTTCTCATTATGTAAAAAACTCATTCTTATCATTTTTGTTATAAATTTTAATAAACCTTTGGTCAAAATATTTAATTTTTTTTTTCGTTAATCTGCAGATATTCTCAATTAATCCAAGAAGTTATGTCTCCTGACTGTAAATATATGGTTGCAGCTATGCAGTATGATACCAGTGAATATACAGGTATGGAAGGTTACATGTCCCAATACACACATCTTCCCCATTGAGATCAGGTTTCCCTTTTTGTCTTTCTTTAATTTAAGTGCTAGTGCTGTGCCTCTGTCTAACCATTCTGGAGGTTTTCTAATTAGACCAAATCTCTTCAAATGACATGTCACTTCCTTCACAGTTGAAATTGATTCATCCATCAAAATGTCATCAATATAAGAATTGGTGGCACTATTTATCTTATTTTCTCCTCTTTCAAGCACATTTGTAAGCACAACCACCATTATCTTAGGTGCAGAACATAATCCAAATCCTACTCAATTTGTATGATCCTTGTATTTTACTAACTAATATGGCTATGGTTTTTCTACTACATGTAGGCACTTTTCAAATCAAGAAGGATTTTAGCACCAGTCATTTGCCACCATTCTCGCATAGTTTCTAAGTAGATGTCTATAGTATCACCACCTGTGTGACATGCCACATGGGCATTAAATTCTCTAAAGCTCAGTATCGGTCTCGCTTTGTTTTTTGTAGGCTGAACTACGACCATCAGCGGTAACACCTCTTCCCTCACTTCCTTCTTTCATGGTACAAGTATACCTTCATCTATCCACTTCCTTCTCAAAATTCTTTCAATCTTTTGGTTGAGAAAAATTATTGCAACATCTGATTTTGTTTTTTAATATTGGGTGACTTTTCCTTCCAAAAACATTCTACCACACATTTGTTACCATCAAATTTTGATGAGAAATCTTTATCGTTCATCTCTATGCTCTTGATGTCTGTCAAATGCTATTCCCATTGCACATTCTCATGCACATTGCATCTGACAAAACTTTATTGTACCTTTGTCAACAATAACACCATCAATCAAATTCATGCCAATGATGTTTTTGATCATATTATCATCACTATAGCTTCTGTCAGCTCAATTGTGCTTATCCCTTTGTATCCAGCCACTCCGAGTGGTTGCTAATTTTGGTGTTATTAGTGTAGTCATGCATCTTGTATCCACAAGGGCTCTTGCTTTCTTGTTCCCAATCATTGCATCTATAGTCAGCAGTCATCTGTAAAGCACCACTGCTGGTTTGAGGGGGTAGCTACCAGTTTAGTAGGCTCCCTTTCGTTGTCTCCCTAGCAGCAATATCAAGCAATATGGCTTGAGTCACCACATCTATAACAGATGGTATCTTGCCAAGGTGGTGCTTTAGTTTTACAGTCTTTGATCAAATGGGGTCCCTTACACCGAAAACACTGACCCCTGAATTTCTCAGATTGCATGGGGCCTTCTTTTGCCATGATTACTGCATTCAAGTCATATGCTCTATTAGTAGCCAAGATTCTTGTGCTTACTAATAAGACACTTATTTCCATGTTCTCAATATCAGGCTGCAGAGCTGTTGACATGTCACTTGGAAATTTAGTAACAAATGCTAATTTAACAATCTGTTCAAGACCCATCCCTACAAATCCTGCCAGTCTCCTAATTTTATTGGTGTAAACATTGTCTGATTTTCCAGTGAATGTACTCTGTAACGAGCATGCACGGAAATGTCCTTGAAACTGCGTGTGTGTGTTATCACCGGGTACACCTTGGATTACCGTAATGGACTCGACCGAGGACTACAAGAAGAAGACGCGCGAGTCGTTTGGCGTCTTTTCTTGGGCGACAAAAGCCGTTGCAGTCGGTTGTCTGTCGGCAGCAGTCTTGGGTGCTGTTTTGCTCGTTCGCTGTCGTAAAGTGTTGTGTCGCAGGTAAGCATTTGTTTTTGTGTCGCATTCATTTCTGGTTCGCAAGAAGGAGTTCGTTTTTGTGTCGCAAGAAGGCATTCGTTTTTGTGTCGCATTTGTTTCTGGTTCACAAGAAGGTGTTCGTTTTTTGTGTCACAGGAAGTTGTTTTTTTTTTCCCTCGTTTTCTCGCACAAGCTATTTCGGCATTATGGCCTTTGACCCGAAGCTGATACCACTGTTTGACAGAAGCGATTCTGGACAGTCGGTAGTGGAATGGTTGGAGAAGGCGGAACTAATATGTCAATTGAGTGGTGTGAAGTGAATTGAGTGTGTTATCCCGATGCGTTTGGCAGGTGGCACATATGCTGTGTACCAGCAATTGAGTGAGGAGAAGCACGCAGACTTCAATTGCGTTAAGAAAGCGTTATACACAGCTTTCGCCTTAGATCCCTTCTCCGCGTGGAAGCAGTTTGCAGCACGTCGCCTTCAGCCAGGGGAGACAGTCAACGTCTTTTTTGGCAAAACTGCGCAGACTCGCGATTCTGTTTGGTGGTGTATCAGAAAAGTGTTTGCAGTGTACATTCATTGCTGGATTGCCTGAGCATGCAGAGGAGCTTTTAAGAGCGTCATCCCAGATGGAAGACCTGGATTTGTCACATGTGCTTGCACGAGCTCACGCTATTTTGAAGTGCACTGGTCCTACGGAGCAGGCCGCAGTGGCTGCACAGTTGAAGGAAACAGATATGCACACAAGGTGCTATAAATGTGATGGACCCAATCATAGGGCAAGCCATTGTCTCCTGGGTCGTGAATCATCCAAAGGTGCTGGTACCAAGCACCGACGGACCATCACTTGCTATCGATGTCATCGGCAAGGGCACATTGCTCGGTGTTGTCCGGGGAAAGCGGGCAAGGGGCGAATTCAGCGCCAATCTCCTCCTAAAACCCTTGTAAATGGCACATTGCCTGTAGTGACAGTTCGTATCAATGGAATACCACGTATAGCTCTGGTGGATACAGGATGCACACAGTCACTAGTTCGCAAGTCATGCTGTCGTGCATGGACAAGAAAATCAACACACGTGCTTACAGTAGACGGAGGCCCACTTGACTGCTGTGGAATCAGAGTGGTACAAGTTAGCATTGGTGCAAAGCCGTCCATCACTATGGAAGCCCTAGTCGTGTACGGAGATCTGCTTGGATTTGACTTCCTGCTCGGACTAGACGCCATCAAACAGTTGGGAGGAATATCTTTAACTAGCACCGGAGAGGTGAAGTTTCCGCAGTGTGTCGAACCAGTCGTTGCTGCCATCACCATTACTGAGCCCAACTTTAAAGTAGAATTCGATGAGACCACATGAGGTGGATCACATCTTGGAAATGGGCTGGCAACCAACCTCTGGGTATGTTAAGAAATAGACTGGCAGAATATCCAGCCCCTGCACAAATTCGGGAGGAGTATGATCGGGAACTCTAGATTTGGATAGATAACGGCTGGCTGCTTCCTTACCCAGAGGAGGAACTCGGACCCCCAAAGGGTTTAATCCCCCTCGTGGCCATTCTGCAGGAAAACAAACAGAAGGTTCGGCTCGTTATGGACTATCGGGAACTCAATGAGTATGTTGATACGTACACGGCCAACACAGATGTTTGTTCGCAAAAATTACGGGAATGGTGTCAGCAAGGACCAAATGCTGCAGTGCTGGACCTACGCCATGACTATCTGCAGGTACACATCGACAAGTCTCTTTGGCCATTCCAAACAGTGGAGATTAAGGGACAAAGGTATTGTCTAACCCGCTTAGGATTTGGGCTCAATGTTGCCCCTTTAATCATGCGGGCCATTGTTAATACCGTCTTGAGCCAGGACAAGATCGTCAACGCAGCCTCTTCCTCTTATATTGACGACGTTTTTGTTAATGAGAGTGTGTGTTCTGTGGTCCGCGTCAAGGAACATTTGGAGCAGTTTGGTCTGTCAAGTAAGACCCCGGAACGGCTAAGAATTGGCACACGCGTACTGGGATTGCATGTCTGGGAGGAGCAAGGAAAACTGCGATGGCGCCATGGATGTGAACTTCCGGTAGTCCCCGATAAACTTACCCACCGAATTGTCTTCTCATTGTGCAGGAAGTTGACTGGTCATTTTCCTGTATGTGGTTGGTTACGTGTCGCCACGGCATTTGTGAAGTGGAGGGCAAACACTGTTACTACTGGATGGGACGATGAAGTGCAGGACCCTTTTCTAGCCCAGATGATCGACGACATTTTTAAGAGACTAGCCCAGGACGATCCAGTGAAAGGTGACTGGTGCATCAGTGAGCAAAATGTAACCGTGTGGGTAGATGCAAGCTCTTAGCCACCGGTGTGGTTGTGGAAACAATGGCGCCCGTGGCAGAAAATGCAAGCTGGCTCCGACCGATGCTGCGAAGACAAGCACATCAACTTAGCTGAGCTCGATGCTGTGTTGCGAGGTGTCAACCTTGCATTACAATGGAAGGCCAAAACCATTCTTTTTGGACAGACTCAGCTTTTGTGCATCACTGGGTAGCTGACACTCTGTCCGGACGGACAAGAGTGCGCACCAAGGCAGCCTCCGAGATACTAATCAGATGTCGGCTAGCCACACTCCAAGAGTTGGCCTTAGAATACGAGCTGGACATTGATGTAGAGCTTGTCAAGTCATGCAACAATCAAGCCAACCAACTTACTAGAATACCGCAGCAATGGTTAAATGAATTCACAAAATAATGGAACCCAGAGAACCTATGTGCGCTGTGACTCAAGTACGAGCCATTCATCAATCCAGCGGACATCCTGGTGTGAAGAGAACACTCTATTTTGTGAAGTTGATCGACCCAAGAGTAACAAAAGTTGAGGTGCGAGCGGTGGTTAGGGGATGCAAGGAATGCCAGTCAATCGACCCGGCCCCAGTGCATTGGAAACCGGGCAGTCTTGATGTTGCGGAAAATTGGCACAGGCTTGCGATGGATGTAACCCATTTCAGACATCAACTATACCTGACGCTGATAGACTGCGGCCCCAGTCATTTTGTCATTTGGAAGCCCTTGCACGGCCAAGACTCTGCTAGCATCATCAAGGAGCTGGAAGTAGTGTTTCGTGAAAGAGGGTCGCCGGTTGAGCTGCTTACGGATAATGGCGCAGTGTTTTGTGGAGAGAGGTTTGCCGCGTTTGCAAAGATGTGGAATGTACAAATACGATTTCGCTGTGTCTACGTACCATCGGGGAATGGGATAGTTGAGAGATCTCATCGTACAATAAAGTGACAAGAACACGATGTTCAGTTTTGGAAGCTGTATATTGGCACAATGTTAACCCAAAGGACAATAAAACAGCTTCAACTGCACCGGCGAATGCAACCTACACTTACAGGGTCTGCATTAAGGATATTAACGCAGCTTTGGTGCGTGACGACACAGTTGCCAATCCTTATACAGTAGGAGAGACTGTCTGGGTGAAAAATCCACACGGAAGGTATACGACACAGTTCAACAAGGGTACAGTGACACAAATTAATAGCCCACACTCCATCTCTGTTGATGGAATACCGTGCCACATAAAAGATGGGTGACAAAAGTCGTTGCGGTCGGTCGTCCGTCGGCAGCAGTCTTGGGTGCAGTTTTGCTCATTTGTTGTCGTAAAGTGTTGTGTCGCAAGTAGGCGTTTGTTTTTGTGTGCATTCGTTTCTGGTTCGCAAGAAGGCGTTCGTTGTTGTGTCACAAGTAGGCGTTTGTTTTTGTGCGCATTTGTTTATGGTTTGTAAGAAGGCGTTCATTGTTGTGTCGCAAGTAGGCGTTTGTTTTTGTGTTGCATTTGTTTCTGGTTCGCAAGAAGGAGTTCGTTTTTTGTGTCACAAGAAGTTCCCCCCCCCCATTTTCTCGCACACACTCTTCAATTTTGGTTCAGTTAGTTCAGCATCCTACTGATCTTCTGCATTCATTTCAAGATAAAGTGCCAACACATATTCTTCAAGAAACAACGGAATTAAGCAGTGATTTTCTGCAGCTTGACAGCTAATCTCATGATTTTTAGCCATGTGGCCACATCACCATCACCAGTAAATTTTACTTTCCATCTCATTGTTAACTGGTTGCTGAAATAGCTTGTAATTTGAGTTCACTATGGCAACAAAACCCTTCTTCTTCTTTACTGCTGCTGCTGCTCTTACCACTGGTTCACGGCAGGAAACCCCACACTTGATTCTGGGCCAATCATACAATCTCACACAATACTGCTTTCCCCTATTTGTAATGCCATTTTTTCTTACCTCCCCTTCGACTGTTGCAAATTTCTGATGCCAGCAAAATCTTGTATTTGCAAGAATATGACATTCTTAAATATTTGCCTCATAATCAGTCATTTTTTTTTCTTTATTTGCTTTTTCCTTCAGTTCTCCAACCACATGGTTTATTTACAAATCTCCATTTATTCATTTATTTTTTAATATTATAAGTTACCTGTAACTCTACAAGAAATTCCCAAGTATCAGAAAATGTTGGATGATTGATTCATTTTTTATGGCTTATCAACCCTTTGAAGATTATTTCCAGAAAAAAATTTTTAGATTGTTAGATTTTTTTTTTGAGAAAATAATCCATAGACAGATTCATACTTTTCCCAAGTATAAGTGAATATAACGAACCTAATGAGAATTGGAACTCTACTCTCTGATTAACAATTCTAAGTCATTATCCCTTACATCATCCACATATCCAAACTTACAGCACCTGTCATTCCCAAATGGTCACCCATCTATGTACTGACCAGGTTTGACATTGCTTAACTTTGGTGATTGTATGGGAAACCTGTGTTTCAGCATGATGTGGCCATATGCCATCAGGCAATATAACCAGCCCCCCCAAAAAACAATGTCTCTAATAAAAGAATAGATAATAAAAGAAAATTTAAAGTAAAACTTATTGCCATTAATCAAAATGTGTTTTTCTCAGAATAAAACTTAACAAGAGATAGATCAGAAGCAAATATCACAGAAAGACTTATTTCTTTTAGTCACATGAGGTTTTACAAATTTACAAAGCATCAGTTTTAAGTATGAATTAAATTCATATAATTTGTTTTTGTGATTTTTTGCCTCAAAAGATGATTCAAATTTTAATTAATTCTTTTTCTTACCAGGCCCTCCTTACAATGTCAGTGAAAATGACCTGAAAAAAGAACTATTTCGTATGTATAGAAACAGTTTTTTATATTACTGCATGTACAAAAATATTAATATTTTTAATATAATATATTATATCTTGGGATTTATTTAATTAAATGTGAGAGATAAAAATATCTGTTTATTCGAAAAAAATGGAACTGAGTTGCTCCTGAACAATTTAATGGGGTAATCATATATCATATATTTATTTTTTTAATGATGTCTTTATTGGGATGAGAACTTTTCACCACTGGCACCACCTTCATATTAAAAGGTCTTTTTTACTGTTGGGATATCTAAGATATTATTCCATTCTTTGTCAGAAGTCATGAAATAATGTTATGTTGTATAAATTATCCAGTTTAGTGTTTTCATTGATTAATTTGTTTTTATGATTTATCAACCCTTTGTGGGTTATTTAATGCTGAAACATATTTTGAATTGTAAAGTTAATTCTTTTTTAAGAATTTTTTGGCAAATAACAATAATTTTCCAGATACACTTCCTACTATTTAACCACTAGCTGGGGACGGGGAGGAGATGAACTCATGCCTTTTCAAGGGTATTTGCATGTAAGTGGATGGAATTTGAATTTGGCTTTCTGATTTTCTCATTCTGCCATTCATTACATTACCTGTAAATTCTCAGCTTAGCATTATCACCTTTGTTATTTTGAAATCTTCTGATTGAAAAAACAAAAATGAGTAATTCTTGAAATTACTCAAATAAATTTATCATTTGGACTTAATTGAAACCCTTAATAGCATGAGATATTCAAAATTAAAAGAATTCAGTTTTGTTTTGTTGATGCTAGTCATTTGACCAACTTTTTTAAAAATAACCTTATTTTATTCTTGGTGTTTTGATTTCAATTTTTTTTTCTCTCTCTTTCAAGCTAATTGCAGTGTACAACAATTTGATGAGACTGACCTGACATATTTGTTTAAGGATCGTGGTCTGAGTGAAGTGATGGAGAGAATGTATTTGCTGCAGCTAAAAACAGATTCTGAAAATATTTAAGTAAGTTATATTTTCAAATACAGGGTGTGGCAGAAATATCTCCCACATAACGGTAAGACATTAGCTAGATGAAGATACCATTGCTACTAACGTCTAACATAATGTAGGAGGTCTTTCTGGAAGGAATATGTGGGAGGTATTTCTGCCACAGCCTGTATAAGCCAAGGTTTATTTGGATGACCAAAAAGTATTTGTTTTTGTCATTAGATAGAATTAGTCACCTTCTGATTTTTCAATCTGTTTAATTTTTGTACTTGGCTAAATCGAATTCATATCTGAAGGATTTATTCAGGTCATTTTGGATCCTTCTTTGGTCTTCTTCATTGGTAATTCTGTTGAAGAAATCCTCAAGCTTCTGGGAGATATGAGTTTGTAGTCTCTGTGTTATCCAACAATTGTACTGGATTCTCTCTTGGACAGGGTGTGTTCCACTTTTTCTGCAACCAGACGGGCTCTCCTTGAATTGATGGGAAGTCTTGGTGCTAAGCCTGAAGGGATGAATTGTAGGTCTCTGCATTGGTGTAGGAATGTCAGATGGTTCGATATTCATGCCCGATTCTGGTAGGACTTTCAATGTGTCTCCATATTTTCGGTGTATTGAGTCCATACCGATCCTTCAGTAAATGTCTATATTTCTGAAATATAAAGGGTAGACAGGTCGCGCCATAAGGTAAGACTTCAAGAACACCAGAAAGTTGTAACACGAGGGGAAGTGGAAAAATCAGGCATGGCTGACCACATATGGAAAGAAAAAGGGAGATCACCGCCCTCTGTGGGATCAGGTTGAACATCAAAGAACATTATTGGAAAATTCGTAAACGTAAGGAATCAGCACATATGCTAGGCCACAAAAATCTCCTGAGCCGACCAAGCATAGAAATGAATACAATATGGGAACCAGTAATAAGGAGTGTCAGAAAAAAGTGATAATAACAATGAAAATTGCAATATGAGCATTGGTAAAAAAAATGCTTGCTGAAGACATTAAGTTTATAATACCCAGAAATTCACACACAGATGTCCTCAAGGACACATGGCACAGTGGATAAAGGTGTTAGTTAGATCCAGTGACAGGAGCCAAAGAGTGTGAGTTATAAGGTGGTGGAGAACTTGGAGAGGGGAATTAACAGGAGATAACTGATAACTGACATCCATTAGACATGGCATGTGGAATTAAAACAGTCTACCCCAGCTAGTGAAATAAAGGGTTCAGTTTGACATTCGAACCACCTGAAGAAGGCCAGAACATACAAAGACTGAAACGTTGTGATAAATATGGCAACAATAGTCCGAATAACGTAAATAGTGTAATTAAGATTTGTTGATTATCTGGAAAAAAGAGACAATTTTTTAGTATTAACTTAGGGATTCACTTTCTTTTGTGCAATGTATTTCCACATATAATTTTTGTGTGTGTTTCTAGATAAGTAGACTTTAAAATAAAACTTTATTGAATAAACAATGTTCAAACGTATACACACACACACTGTATGTATATATATGTATGTGTGTGTGTATGTTTATGTGTATATATGTGTCTATATATATATGTGTGTATATATATACATGTGTATGTATGTATATATATATATATATATATATATATATATAAGAGATTTGTCACATAGCAAAACTTGGTAATCCATATGAGTAGTCCCAAGGAGGATGAAATCCTGAGAGCTCAATGTAAATCCAGAGCTAATATTTTAAAGAAAAACAGACCACTTTAAGGTTCCATTATAATAATTTATTTCACCGGAGCCCTTTTAAAGGACACCGGATCATCAAATAGTGACCAGACCTTGACCTATTTAAAGGTCTGGTCACTCCTCCCTCAATACTAAGTATGATTGAGAGAAATATTAAATTAAACCCTCTCTAAACTCTACCATGTCTCTCTAACCATCCCTTATTACACTCTCTGTTAAATTACAAAAACTTACACTACCCATCAATTTTCATTTCATTTTTCGTTTCATCTTTTGGAAGTGCTATCTGATGATCTGGCGTCCTTTAAAAGGGCTCTGGTGAAATAAATTATTATAATGGAACCTTAAAGTGGTCTGTTTTTCTTTAATATATAAAATAGGAGTACCTTTCAGTATGTTCAGGCAATTTCAGTCATTTGATTTCCTAACATTAAATTCATGAATGCTATATTTTTTAAAAATAAATAAATGAATAAGTGCACAACATGAGGTGTGTTAGAAATTGAGGAGGAGAAGGGGAATTCAACTCTGACCATTAACTTTTTTAGTATTTTTTTATATATATATATATATATATATATATATATATTAGATGTGCAGTAGTTATTGGAAAGTGCTCAATATTAATGATAGAGCTAGCATATATCATTATATATAATGGACTCTCCCGTCAGTTTCAATATATGATGATCTGAGAGCTTAATTGATTCAGTTATGAAATTTTGTGCAGTAATCTTAAGTGACACTTAAGTCCTGCTAGTGATTTACAAAGGAGGCCACGTATGGAGCAAGAGTGAATAATATATATATATATATATATATATATATATCAAATATGTGGTGCAGTTCAGTTTATATTACAATGAATCATTCATACAAAAGTAGATTAGTAAAGTTAATGATATAAAATGATGGAATCCTTTTACAAACAAAATTTTAAAGTTGCATTAACTATGCATTTTACTAAATGAATTACTCGATGAATGTTATGATCCTTGTTTTTAATAACTACAAGCTGTATACAGTCTTTTTTTAATCTGCAAGTACTTTCAACTGTACATTCAGTCATCCTCAGGCATGGAAATTATTTTGTTTTTAGTAAAATTCAAGGTGATAGAACATGATGATTGAAGTTGCATTTAAATTTTTGAAAATTATGGTTGACAGGAAAACAAGAAGCCAGTAAAGATTTCCACAAATGAGAAATATGAGAAGTAAAAAAAAAAAGTAAAACGTATGTTTATACTTGACAATTTTAACACTAAAATGATGCTGCCAATCTAGTATGTCACATAAATTTCTGAAGTTGATGTACCAATGGTAATTTATTATGCATTTGAAGCAATTTAATGGGAAAATATTAGTTTGTTTTTTTGTTTTTTGAGTGAATTTTACTAAATGATTTTTGTCTTTTTCAGGTATCCAGTAACACGTTGAAAGGTCATCCTTTAAAGAGGCCACCTATTGAATTACATGGGAATATATTTTGAATTTTTGAAATAATCAAGTGACGAAACTTGAAAAGCCAAGTAAACTGGAAAGCAAATGAAAAGGCAAATTTAATTCAGTATTTCAAGCAAACATAAATATTGTATAAATTTTGTTAGAATTTTATAAGTTTGATCAGGATTATGTTCATTGAAATAAACAAAATTCTGTACTATTTCACTACAATGTATAGAGAATTTTTGATGTACATGGAAATTTTCAGAAAAAAAAAGAAAAAACTGAGTGAATTTAATCAATTAATGCCTGACTGTTTTAACAGCATCCAATGAAAATTTGCAAGAATCAAATTTAAAAATTCATTTTTGTAAAATAAAATCTTATTTAACACTATGCAAAAATTACTTGAATATAATATTTATTTTTGGAAAATCTTTTAAAAATTTGAAGTTTTTTTCTTTTTTAATATGAAAATTATGTTTGATAAACATTTTAAATCAAAAAAAGATTAATATTTTATATAGTTTTTCAGTTTTATACTGAAAATATATGTACAACTGATCAGATCTTAAAATAATTTATACAGCTAATTTTTATATCTTTTGATAATGTTACAAATTATTGAAAATTGTCAAATCTTGATAAAGCTGTAGATCTGCAGATATTGCAATAAAAATATGAACTCAAAAGGAAATAAAACTATTATTATCAAAATTCTTGATTTTGTTTTCCATTCAATCTTTAATATATTCAGTTAATATGATTAACAGATTTTACCACATGCCCAAACATTTGTTTCTTAACAAGCCTTCATGTTTTGCTTTTAGTTCTTCAGTGGGTGACAATTTGCAACTATGACCAGGTTCATTTTGGCAATACTGATCACCAATATAGTGTTTCTCATAGAAAAGAAAGACACTTGTGTTTTACTTTAACATTTTATTAAACCATCACTTTTGGTACTAAATTACTCAGGCTGGAGGTGCCTAATGTTCTCCCTTAATTTAACCTATTAATTTTCATACATCATCTTCCCACTTAAGATGTTTTAGTCCACAAAACTAAGGAGGCTTGGTAGACTACACTTGACCTTTTTTTTGTAGCCAGATTATTCAGCCTTGTCCTGATGATGACAGTCTTACGGTCCTATCACATTGAAATGCCAGTTCTTGTTTATTAACCAGTTAAGCAATTACAGTACCTAGATGAGTGACTGCTTGGGAATATCAAATCCTATAAGCTTGGATATTGCAGATGGTGTAATGGATAATGGCTCAGAATTGGAGATTGGAGAGCTGAGTTCAATTCAGTTATATACACTTATGCACAAATAACCTTGGGAAAGGTATGAATCTACTTCTTCTCCCTCTCAGCTATGGGTTAATTTGTAGGACCTATATTGCCAAAAAATTCTTACAATCTAAAACAATTTCTGATTTTAAATAACTTGCAAATGATTGATAAACCATAAACAATCAATTAATCCTGATGAAGACAACCAGCCATTTGAAGCCTAATTTAAAAGGATCGATCAGCTCTTTCCACAATATGACCACATAGTTTGAGAACTAAACTTCTGAGCAGACAGCATCACCTTTATTAGATGAATACATCTAAGCAACTACAAACATACATAGAAATGAGATGCTGACTTTTTGTTTACCACTCTGTTAAGTTAGCCAAATGTTCAGTCTTCGGTTCCTGTTATCAATATATCATCCTAATAGCAAGCAATATGTGGTTCATTTACAAATAGATTGTCCATACAGCATTGGTAAATTCCTGGAACTGACTTTACTCACAAATGGAAGCAATTGAACTTCTAGGGACAAATGTGGCCTTATTGCTAGTGAAATAATGTGTTGAGTGTTTTTCTAATGGCCCCTGTAGGAATGCCAATGTCAAATCTAACTTTCGGCAAACCTTTGACTTTGCCCCAACTTTTGTATACAATTGTCGATCCTGAGAATGGGTTACTGATCAAGGTTTGAATACTTGTTCATCATCATTTTATCATTATGAAACAAGTGAATGAATTGGTCATTCTTAGCAACCATTACTATGGAGACTACCCATTCTGAATACTGCACAGCTTCAATAATGCCCAGAGATGTATGATCAAGGCAAGTGTCAAGCTTGGCAGAATATGGGTTTTGCTTTTATCTCAACACTCAATTTTGTTATAAACCCTTTAATGTACACAACTCATCTGTGAAAATGTCTGAATATGTTGCAATGATCCCTTTGATAGCAGATGTAATGTTCATTACCTTTAAATGGTGGATACATTTCCATCAGAGTTGTGTAACTTGTAACCAGTTTCTTATTAAAAGTATAGGATCAACAACTGGAGCAACCATGAAATGGCTGATCAATATCAATCTCTATCTGAACATGGAAGTATTTGATACCCATCAATGCCAATTGATTTGGCAATTTATGTGGAGGTTAAGTAACTGTAGGAGAGATGGTTTCATCTACTGGTTGTCCAATGCTTTCCAAGTGCTTTGAGTGAAATAGGCTGATGAAATGTGATCAGTTTTATGACAAAGTTGCCTTTTTATAATGAAAAGAGCCTGGAGATTAGTTTCCATTGCATTCAAAACACAATCTTTTTTTTTATTTTGTTCTCTGATGTTGAGTGAACTGTACAAACACATTGACTTTTTGTCTGCGATGATGTATTGAAGAAGCTGCAATCTCAACTAACATTTTTTTCAAAACTCTTCATAGTGAGAACTATCTCTTGTGTTTGAGGGGATTTTAGTTTCTTCTCAAAAAGTAGATTCCTGCAAACATGATCATTCACCACTTCTACTATCTGTTTCTTAGTATGTTTTCCATTATGCTGTTGAATTCAGTGAATTTAAAACATAACTTTGGGATGATCAATGAAATACAAAATTCTGATTTGGCTGTTGAAGTCACATATAGAAATTGAATAACTCTACAATAACTAATGTTACTGGATTGCAGTGCTTTTTAAATCTGAGAATGAAAAGGACTAATCTTTTGTTTTTTTTCTACATCTTATATTCTGTTAACCTCAATATAATAATCTATTCTCTGTATAGTTATTCCATAATTCACTGGATTGCCTGAGGTGTCTCAGAAGTGTGCAATGCTCTACCAGTTGTTTTGCCATGTATATTTGTAGCTTTAATTATGAATGATACCAACAAAAATTTGTTTTCTGCAGCTGTAAAGTTAAAAATGTATTGTTTTGCTTCATGTATTTGCTGTTTGGAAGTGATGTAACATAGACAAAAGACGGTTTTAGAAATATAAACAAATGAAAGAAAAACTGAAAACAATAGAAGTCAAATAAGCATACCGAAAATGTTATGTCACAATCACCTTTTAAGAAATGTAAATATTATGGAGAAACTTAGTGAGGCATACAGATTTTTTCAATCAATGAGCATAAAATGAAGGCTAAAAAGAACCATGAACCATGAAATTTTATCCAAAATAATAGACTGTATTTTATTTTTGGAAATTTTCAAAATCCTAATGAAAAGATGATTCAGCAGATCTAGGGGTATTTAGAGGATTAATAAATTTTGCATCTAAATTAGATTCAAATTTTAAAGAAATCAGTACAGTTTTCAAAGGTGTTTTTGAGACATTCAAAATGAAATATTTGACTGTCTGTTCCAAATATATTATGGCGATCTTCATCACATACACACATACACCTTTACAAATTCAAATCTTTAACAGAATTCATTCATTGAACAGAAAGCAATGCTGCTATCTGAAGTGACAATTTTAAAATTCACTATATTTTCATATAGTAAATTTTGTGCACTTTTGGGAGAACCGGCTCCCAGAAGTCTCCCCAAATCTCAGTCACTGATTGGTCAGTATCGACCAATCAGATTCTCTGCATGGGGAGAATGATTCTTCCCGTGCAGATTCCTAATTCGATGGCTACCTATATGAACAGAACAAAAGATGACCAACATCAGTGAGACTTCGACTGCTACTGGAATCCACGTCAGTCGACGACATGCGACCATCTCACTCACTCTCAAATTACATATTCTGTCACACTTACATAATTTTCCTCTTTCACGGCAGAACTGTCTAAAACATTTATAACAGACTAACAACTCTTTCATTTCCTTTTCAGAGAACATTGATAAACTTTTATAGTCAAAGAGAGACTACTCTCACCTGACTCATTGTATGCTTCATTTTCGTATATATACTTTATTGTATGCTTTGTTGAATACAATTTATTTGCCTTGTCCCTTATTCTTATATCAGTTTGGGTTCCTAAACAAAATTAAATAAATGTGGTGAGAGGCCTAGACACGCTACATCTCATTGATAACTTCGACGTTTGTTTGGAATTCCGCCACAATATCACAAGGAGGAAACAACAGAAATTACGGAAGCTTCATTTGTAGCTGTCATGACATAACAGATGTTTTGGAACACACTCAAATGGTCATTGTTCTACGATACGTATTGAATGAAAAAAATATTTGAGTGTATTTGGGGATATTTTATTGCAGAAATCAAACTGCAGATATCAAAATGCATTCTAGAACATTTAGACATAATCCTTCAAGGAAATGGATAATGGCAATCTTTTTAGTCAATTCTAAATATAGAAACTTTTACAGACAAATCTAACCCATCTGTTATAACTAATTGTCAACACAGAGTCAGCGGATAGGGTTTATTTTACTAGGATTATTCAATATGGCGTGCAACCTTTTACTACAATATGAAGTAAAAGGGGAACAACTCTTTATTACTTGGTGACAGGGCCGATAACAGGAGTTCATTTGCCATATATATCTCTCCCCTTTTAGATAGGTACTATTGCTTACACGTTTATTACACACATAGCATAATCCTTCCAGTATGAGTGTTTGCTGTGCTGCCTGCAGGGGTATCTGTTTGACAGCTGTCCCTGCAGTTGAGGCTTGGGTGGGAATGTGCTGCTGCTTGTTGAATGGCTAGCAGTTACTATGTCT